TGGGAGTCCAGCGACATAGCCATTACACTAACTGCTGGTTCCCTATGCCTAGAAATTTTTTTGAAGTCTTATGAATTTTCCTTGTATTCTTTGAAACTTCTCACAACTATTAATATTTTTCATATATGGGACATAGAACTTGAAGCAAATTTATATGATGTAAAAATTCTGATATAAGTCCAAAAATTTAGATATATCAAATATATATACATATATATATATATATATTTGCTCATCATTATATGTATATGCATAGGAAAAGAAAAAGGGAGAAAATATATGAAAATATTAACAATGGCTCTCTTTGGGTTCTGGCATTGTAAAATGTCCTTTCTTTTTAAAGGTTTTCAGTATTAAACATGTTATATAAGGTGAAATAAAATTTATCTGAAATACTAATCAAGGTGAAATATAACTCCTTTTTTCTTCTTAAGGTTGCACATAGGCAAAGGTGTGCAGTTGGAATGTAAAGGTGAAGGTGATGTTTGGGTCAGGTGCCTTAGCGACCACGCAGTCTTTGTACAAAGTTATTACTTGGACAGAGAAGCTGGGCGTGCACCTGGAGATGCTGTTCATAAGATTTACCCAAGTGCATATATAAAGGTTAGTTGCAATTTTATTTGTATATTTTAGACTTGGAAAGTTTTTTTTGTTGTTGTTGTTGTTTAAATAATTGAAATGGAGGTGGGAGAATAGAAAAATGTCTTGCTAGGGCCACTTCATAGCCTAGCTATTAAGGCGACTGGATCCCATATGGCCACTCATATTGTTCAAGTCCTCACCCAGCAGCTTGAGAAACATGGTAGACATGTGTGCAAGCATGCCCAAAATTCTGAAGAGGAGGGAGAAATGGAGAAGAAGGGATTGTGGCATGACCATGCCCCATGGTGGGATACTTTCCTGCTTTCCCTCTCTTCTGGCCTTTCTCTCCCTTGAGCACATGCACCCTCTGGCAAATAAAATAAAAAGTCGTATGTATTTAATAATCAGAAATTATGTTTGAGTTTTTAGAACACATCTTCTGGGAGCGTTTATTGACATGGTCTGCTATTTAGGCATGTGGTTGCTTTCATGTCCTCGTATTTATTAGCAAATTTGTTAATGTTTTAGGGTAATACATAGGCTCTTGAAAATATTGAGAGACACCTCCAAATGTGTATTCTTTTGATGTAAAATTGGTAAAAATCAGACCATGGATGTCATTTTAGCCAGTATTAAGGATTTTATGGAAGGGAATTCTAAAGTTAATAAATTTTTAAATTAGGAATCTGAGAAACCTGAGGTCTTTTTCACCATTTTACATATTCGACCTCTTTCAATTTTACTGTATAACATACAATATTTTTTTAAGAATTATTTTATTTAACTTTATTTTTAATTTAACTAGAAAGAATGAGAGAGAGGGAGCGTGAGAAAGCAAGCAGGCAGGTTCAGAACTAAAACCACAGTTGACCATGTGGGAGTCCAGTGCCCTTAACCACCACGCCACTTGCCGACCCTAGCATACACTATTTTTGTAAGAGAAAGATAGTTGTAATTAGAGAGCTTTATATATACATACATAATTTATATATATGTGTGTGTGTGTGTTTATATAATTTTCTCTCTTTATTCCTTAGATATTTGCCATAGGGTTCATGTGCTTGTCAGAGAGACAGAGAGACAGAGATACAGAAAGCAAGAAACCACACCCCAGGGGGAATGGCCACACCGCAATCTTTTCTCCTCCATTCTCCTCTTAGGATTTTAGGCACATATGCACATGCATCCAGCCTAAGTTTTAAGTTGCTGAGTCTGGGACTTAAACTGCTCTTGACCATGTGGGAGTTCAGCACCTTAACCACTATATCACCTGCTGGCCCCCTAAATTTTTTTTTATTCAGGAGAGAGACTGTGTAGGCACCTCCAATAGAGACTGCTGCAGTCTTCCTCCAGTCTTCCAGCTCATTAGGATGTTGTATGATGTGCCTGGAGTTTCAGATCAACCAGGCCAGGGATCCAAACCTTTTGTCAGACATGTAGCTTCTGGCACTGTACTTAAGTATGTTGTGATCTATGCCACTGAGGCACTTCTGAATTGGCTGTCAAAGTACCAGCATTTGATTTTCAGGCAGGTGCTCAATTGTAGCCCTAGAGCTTGCCTTTTCAGTTTTTCTGTATTACTCCAAGAAGTTGAATTTCTGTCTTCTACTCTCTGTTTGTAGTCTTGGTATTACCTTCTGTCTTTAGTCTCAGCTCTCCATTATGGGTTTTTATGAGGGGACTTAAAAATTATTAGGAAAAAAATGAAATAAAATATGACTTTATTTTGATGCAGGAAGATTTTGAAATCCATTCATGGTTTATTTATAATATGCATTTTCCATGAACTTTTTGAGGACCCTTGTGTATATCATTAGTTGATAGATATGGGTTGTTTATACTTATTGGCTATAATGAACACATTTGCCATGAACATTTGTGTATATGTTTTGGGATAGATATACATTATAATGTTCTTCAATATATACCTATAAATGGAATTACTGAATCAGAAAATAACTTTGTAAGTTTAACTTTTTGAGGAACTGCCTGTTTTCCAAAGTGACTGTTATTTTGCATCCCCCGAGCAATATATGAGGGCTCTGATTTCTCTATAGTCTCATCAATACTTATTATTTTTTTGAGAATTATTTATTTAATTCTATTTATTAGTATTATTATTTTTAAAGTTTGCTATAGAGCATGTGTGCTTAGCAGAGAGACAGAGAAAAATAGAGGGAAAGTGAGAAAACAAGCCACCAGATCAGGGACTCAAACTGCCATTGTCCAGTGGGAGTTCAGCTCCTCAACCACCATGCTACCTGCTGGCCCCTGTTATTTTATCTTTTTGATTTAGCTATTCTAGTATATTGAAGTAGTAGTATCTCATGGTTTTGATTTACATTTCTCTATGGGCCAATAATGTTTGACATATATCTCTTCATGTGCTATTGGTCATTTATATGTCTTTGGAGAAATGTCTATTCAGATCCTTTTCCTATTTTTTTAACAGGGTTCTTTTTATTATTGAATCGTGGCAATTCTGTACATATTCTGAGTACCAGTCCAGTATCAGATACATGATTTACAAGCTATTTCCTTCTATTCTTTGGGTTGTCCTTTACTTTCTTGATGATATGAGTTGTAGCACAAAGGTTTTTAATTTTGCCGTAGTGTAATTTATCTGCTTAATCTTTGGTTGCTTGCATTTGTGGTGACATATCTAAGAAACATTGCCTAATCCAAGGTCATGGTCTTGTTTTCTTTGAATGATTTTATAGTTTTACCTCTTATATTTAGGTTTATAATCCATTTCTTTTTAATTATGAGACAGTGCACATGCTTCCCAGAGAGACAGAGGAAGAGAGGAAGAAAGCTTTCATCAGTGGGGCACGAGCACACCAAATCCCTTCTTTATTTCTTTATCTTGTTTGGATTTTGGACATGCACACACATGCACCTAGCCTGTTTTTCAGACCTCTGGGGCTAGGATTTGAACCACTGTCAGCCATGTGGGAATCTATCTCCCTTAACCACTCAGCCCTAGGACCAGCCCAGGTTTGTGATCCATTTGAGTTAATACTTATTATTCTTTTTTTTTCAATAGAGAGATTTTCTTGGTATAGGGCACATGTTCTTGCCAGAGAGACAGAGAGAGACAGGAAGTGATAAGTCACCCCCCCAGGCCCCCTGAGGGGGGATGGCTATGCTGCAATTCCTTCTCCACTCTCTCCTCTGGATCTTGGGCATACACACACACACATCCTGGGTGTGAGTTTCAAGCCGCTGGGTCTGAGACTCAAGCCACTGTTGGCTACATGGGAGTTCAGTGATGTAAACCATTACACCATCTGCTGGTCCTAATACTTGCATATGGCTTAAGGATGAAGTTCAACTTTATTCTTTTGCATGCTTGCAAACATCCAATTCCAGCAAACCATTAACTGAAGATTCTTTTTTTCTTCTGTTAAATCATCTTGGCACCTATGTTTAAAAATTAGTGACATAATGTAAAGATTTATTTATCATTTTTACAAATAGGATTATCTTGCTCTGTTGTTATCCTCCTATCTCAGCCTGCTTGTTGCTGGGGTTACCAGTGCGTACTGCTCTGTCCTGCTGAGGATATCTGTTTTTAATCGTTTTTCTATTCAGTGGTTTGGAGCAGAGATAGAAATTGTGATTATGTATACCACTCATCCATTCTGACTGGGATGTCTCTAGATTACTTGTGTAATTTGAAACGAATGGATAGGGAACTGGTATTGTTGAGTATATGAAGTCTTCCAAAAGTTCATGGAAAGAGATGGCGGCGTGGCCATTCCCTGGGGGGCGTGGAGGTGGTGATTTCTCTCTTTCTGTCTCTCTGGTAAGTGCAATTCTCCTATAGGAAAAATCTCTCTTAAAAAAGTTCATGAAAAATGCATATTATAGTAAAACAGCCTGCATTTAAAAAGTTATGTACACTAATGTAAACTTGTACTTAATTCCATTTTTCCACTAGCTTTTTGAAATGCACAGGAGTGGGCAGGCTGTGACCACACTAGAGGCCTGGGTTTGATTCCTAGTCCAACTTAAAGGCTAGGTTGCACCTATAATCCCAGTGACTCAGAGAGACTGAGGCAGGAGGATGATAAGCTTGAGGTTGACCTGGGCAGTGTATTGAGACCCTGTCTAAAACAGAGCCAGGTGTGGTGGTATGTGCCAGTGGTCCTAACTGGGAAGCCAAGGCAGAAGGATCCCAGCACAGCATACCTTGTATTAAAACACACATACACACACACACACACGCACACTGAACCAGATAGTATTAATACATATATCCGATGTGGAATGGTGCTTATGTTTTTTTTTTTTTCAATTGCTAGAGGGTACACATCTTCACCAGAGAGAGATGGGGAAGAGAATGTGTACACCCCCAAATGGGGCATGGCACTGCAATCCTTCCCTGCCCGTCCTCCCTGCCCCTGCACATCACAATTTTGGGCATGGAAGTACACATGCCTGATGCATCTTTCAGTATGTGGGTCAGCTATATGTGATCCCACTCCCAAAGTACAGAGTCTAAACATTATTTTATGGAGCTAGCCCTGGAATAGTGCTTAAAACAATTGAGCTTAAATAATGTGGGGACTCACATAATTAATTTCTTAGATTATCAAATAAATATAATTTAACTCTATTTTGGTGTAAATGCCTCCCAGAAACCTCCAAAGGGGTGAGATAGCTCATTATTTGATACCACTATCATGCACAGATACATAATAGTGATCACATATTTCGCCATGAACAATAGGTAAGATATCTTGTGAGACAAGATATTTGGAGTTAAAAAACATCTTTCTATATTAACAATGATTTTAATAGAATTATTTTTTAAATAATTATTTATTTTTTAATTTTCATTTTTCATTCATTTATTTTAATTTAACCAGAGGGACACAAAGAGAGAGAGGAAAAATGAGAAAGCAAGTCATCAGGTCTAGGACTCGAACTGTGGTCAGCCACATGGGAATGTCCAGCACCTCAACCACCACTCCACCTGCTGTCCCAAATAGAATTATTTTTGTTTACCAGTATGTGCATGCCCAAAATCCCAAGAGAAGACTGGAGGAGAAGGGATTGAGGAGTGGCATCCCCCTGGGGGGGGATTTTTCACTTTTTCCTTCTCTCTCTTGCGAGTGCATATGCTCTATGGAAAACATCTAAAAAAAAAAAAAAAAAAAGAAAGAAAGAAAGAGGAAAAAGTAAGATCTGTTTTGTTTGGTGTTGCTTAAGCCTGGTCATTTAGGTTTTTAAGATTTATTTGTATTTATTAAGACATAATTCATATGCCATACAAATTGCCCATTTAAAGTATACATGCAAGGTCAACTTCGTGCCACAGCAGTAATATACTGTTCAAGAGAGGCTGGATCCTATATGGTGGCCCTGAAAAATCACCCTGACCAGACCGACATACAAATATGTCAGGTATGTGTGTGGAGTACCTGAGGAAGGGGGTCGCAGTGTGACCAGACACTGTCACTGTGGTTCCTTCTCCCTCCCTCCTTCACTCCTTCTCTCTCACACAAGGGTGTACTCTATCATGAAAAAAGAAAAAAAAAATTAAATAAAATATACATAGAGTTCAGTGATTTTTATCATATTCATAGGTGTGTGCATTCACCACCACACTCGCTTTTCATAACCCCAGCAAGAAACTCTACCCTTCAGCTGGTACTCCCCGAACTCTCATTCTCTGTAACCCTACACAGCCACTAGTCTATTTTCTGTCTCTGTAGATTTGTCTATTTTATGTAAATGGAGTCATATAATATCGCTTTTGTGACATGCTTCTTTCACTAAGTATAATGTTTTAAACTTCATCTATGTAATATGTATCAGTACTTCATTCTTTTTTTTTTTTAAGAGGTTTTCGCTATAGGGCGCGTGCACTCACCAGACAGACAGAGACAGAGAGACAGAAAGCGAGAAATCACCCCTCAGGGGTGATGGCCATGCCGCAATCCCTTCTCCTCCATTCTCCTCTCGGGATCTTGGGCACGCACGCACACGCGCCCAGCGTGAGTTTTAAGCCACCGGGTCCGGGACGCAAACCACAGTCGACTATATGGGAGTCCAGCGACATAGCCATTTTGCTTACTGCTGGTCTCAGTACTTCATTCTTTTCTAAATGATTGAATAATACTCTATATACCATATTTTGTTTATTTCTTCATTAGTTGGTAGACATGGATTTCTGGCTATGATACATAAGATACCAGGTGCCCATGGTCTAGTCTGGCTAAAACTGGGGGCCAAGACCCTTTTGGGAGTTTGCCTTCTGTTTGTCTGTTTTTAATATTTTGCTATAGGGCACATGTGTTCTCTAGAGAGAGAGAAAGAAAAAGTGAGAAAGTATCCCCAGTGGGGGATAGTCATGCTGCAATGTCTTTTCCTCTATTCTCCTCTTGGGATTTGGGGCATACATGTGCATACACCCAGCATATTCAAGGTATGGGTCTGGAACTCATACCATGTAGCTAGACATGTGGGATCCATCCGCCTTCTCCTCCATTCTCCTCTCAGGATCTTGGGCATGCATGCACACACGCCGTGAGTTTAAGCCACTGGGTCCAGGACTCGAACCATGGTCAACTACATGGGAGTCCAGCGACATAGCCATTACGCCAACTACTGGTCCTGACACTGCTTTTTAACAGTGTAAATATAAGCAAATATATTAGTCCAGGGAGAATTTTTTTCCTCACAAAATACGGTGATATGATGTATCCATAATTTATTGCTTATTAAAAGAACATTTTTCCACTTTTATGAGGATAAAGGTAAAAGTGCATTCCCTTCTTTACTGTTCCAGTCCTTTGGTTGCTAAAGAAACATAGAAATTACATATGAGTTCCTCCTTCCCACATCCTCAAAGGTAAATGGACTACAGGGAAGGCCAAAAGCAAAATCATAAGTAACTTTTATTGACAGCTTACAGTGTACTATGCCACGTTTACATTTACCCTATGAAAGTAGTAGACTTTCCATATTTTTTGAATTGCCAAAGGGGAGCTTGCCAGAGAGAGAGAAGAGAGAAAGACAAAACACTCAAGGGGACATGGTCACGGTCACACCACAGTCCTGTCTCCGTTTCTCTATTCTGTTGGGATTTTGGACAGACACGCACACATACCTGGTGTTTTTTTCAGGGTGTCAGACTGCAGCTCGAACCACAGTTGGCCATGTGAGATCTGGCTCCCTTAACTAGTGGGCTATGCTACAGGGCTAGCCCAACATTCTTTTTTTTTTTTTTTTTTTTTTTTTTTTTTTTTAGTTTTTGCTGTAGGTTACATGTCTACCCCTCACCCCATGTCTACCCCCAGAGAGAGAAAAAGTGAGGACAACACCCTTTCCTTCCCCCCCCCCCCCGATGGCCATGCTGCAGTCTCTTCTCCTCCAGTTCCTTCTTGGGATTTTGGGCACCAGTGTACATGAATCTGGCATGATTTTCAAGCCACTGGGTCCAGGACTCAAACTATGCTGTCAGCCATGTAGATCCAGCACCTTAACCTCCTTGCCACTTGCTGGCCCCAGCATTTTCATTTTACAGATTAAAAAATTGAGGCACCAATGAGGTTTAAGAAACTTAATTCTATACTTGGCAGATTTCAGTGATGAGATTCAAAGCTAGGCTTTTTCTTTTTTGTCTTTAAAGATGATGAACATTTTTATGCATATGGAAAAGTAGGAAAGAGGCTAATGAAATCCCATATAATCATCACCCAGATTAAGTAGTCAACACTTTATATTTACAATACAGGATAGTAAGAAAAGATATTTGCTAGGACCAGCAGGTGACATGCTAGTTGGGGCGATGGACTCCCACATAGCCAACTACAATTTGAGTCCTGGACCTGGTAGCTTCCTTTCTCACTTTCTTTCTGTGCCTTTCTCTCTCTGGTGAGCAAATGTGCCCCTTAACAAATTAAAAAAAAAATAAAGGAAGGAAGGAAGGAGGAAGAGAGAGAGGGAGGGAGGGAGGGAGGGAAGGAAGGAAGGAAGGAAGGAAGGAAGGAAGGAACCCGATAATAAAAAAAAAGTAAAATTAAATTCATTCTTTAAAAAAAAGAAAAAAAGAAAGAAAAGATATTTGCCAGGTGACCAAAGCCATCAACTCCAGCTTGAAGACAGCTCAGCAATAGAACATTGCTAACTGTTCATTTTACACAGGTGGGTGCTTTTCACAGGGACTGTACTAGTTGACACCACCTCCTCTCCCCAGATTATCAGTACATAAAAGGTACAGAGGGTCGAGGTAGCCAGTGCCATCCTGACAGTGAAATGGGCCTCTGGGTGAGCTCCAAGCCCCTTTTTCTGACTGGTTCTATATAGTTACAGTCTACATAAAAATGTAAAATTTTAATTAATTCTTTTCTTGAGGTAAAATGAAGCTATGAATTTTAAGTAGTGTGTGTATTGGTTTTTGATGTTTAGAATCTTTTTGATGGACTTGATGAACATTAGCTTAACTTGTTTTAAAGGTCTTTGATTTGCGCCAGTGTCATCGGCAGATGCAGCAGCAGGCAGCCGGGCCAGCTGCAGCCGCCGCCCAGGCAGCAGCCGTGGCCGGAAACATTCCTGGCCCAGGATCAGTAGGTGGAATAGCTCCAGCTATCAGTAAGTATGCTTTTGCTTTTTGGTAAAGAAGTGTAATAGTTGGCATTTTATCTCAATTCATTTGATTAGTTATTTTAAACAATAATAATAATTACAGTTCTTTTTACTGGGATGATGACATTTTTGAATTTTTAAAAACTGTTCTTCTTTAATAGTTGCCCTTTGCCTAGGACCCTACTTGCATTCTTTTTGTATTGAAAAGGGAGTATGGGATAAAGGAGAAGGCATTGCTATTCTGTTATGTTGTTCCATCTGCCCTTTTTTTGTTGATGCTTATCAAGGTTCCGGCCTCACCAGCCAGGGTGGGTTTAATCAGTGAAGTACTTGGCTATTCTGGTAAGGAAAGCATATTTCCATTTCAGAATTGAACACCTCTCTATAATTTTAAGCATGGAGAGAGAAAACTAAGTGAGGGGGTGGTATTTTGGTAACTTGTAGACTTTTTTTTAATTTTAAGGTGAAATTGAACTGTGTGCCAGGTTTCACACTGATGGGGAATTTTTTACTGCAGAGTTAAACTCCTGACTATAGACTTTTATGATGGAAACACGTGGCACCCATCTTCCACGTCTGAAGGCATAACTAGTGATTCATTCAACCCCTGTTCTTAACCTCTTCAGTGTGGTAAGCAAATCACACTGGCTAAGAAAACTGCAGTGGCCCTGCAGGTTTCTCTACAGTACATGCAAATTCTTCCCATTAGTATCATTGTAATATTGATGAATGCAGATTGACTATATGACTGTGTGTTCTACCTGGAAAATTAATACAGAGTCTCTGTTGTGACTTACATTCAGGAGTTTACAATTTAGAGTGAGATAAGGTATATCTATTAAGATAATTTGATTTTTTTTTAAATTTGGGCATCTAAACCATTGATTATTAGTTTTGATGTTATAAACATTCATTTACTAGAGAATCTAGAACTACTTTTTAATTTTGTATTCTCATCTGTTGCCCCATTGAATAATTGTGTGCCATCTCTGCTACACTGCAGAACTGAGACAGACACCATCTGAATCATCCAGGTAGTCTTAGTGGAACCAGGCAGACTCACGCCTCATTATCAGGCATGTCTTAACTCTGAACAAGGCCATTAGACAGTGGGGTTCTTAGACCCAACCTATAGACATGTACTGCCTCCTTAAAAACAAGTGTTTTTTTTTTTTTTTTTAATTTTTAAAAATCCCTTCACCTCTACTTCTAGAAAAGTAGTTGGGTGTTGGTGGATTATGGTAATTGATTTGATAATTGGTAGTAGCTAGAAGACACATGTGCAATGTAGACTGCCTTAACCAAGTTCTCAGTCCCTGTTGTTTAAAGCTTAGACCTATAATTACTTCTTGGCACTTTGACAGAGAAATTATATGCTGAGGAGAAAGAAGTAAAGCTGGTCACTTTATTAATGTGAATGCAGGGAGGATGGGAAGAGATCACCCTGTTTTCTGACGTCTTCCAAATCTTTTCTGTTAGGTTTGTCAGCTGCTGCTGGAATTGGTGTTGATGACCTTCGTCGCTTATGCATACTCAGGATGAGTTTTGTGAAAGGCTGGGGGCCGGATTACCCAAGACAGAGCATCAAAGAAACACCTTGCTGGATTGAGATCCACTTGCACCGGGCGCTCCAGCTCCTGGATGAAGTCCTTCACACCATGCCTATCGCTGACCCACAGCCTTTAGACTGAGGTCTTTTACTGGTGGGGCCCTCAATATTACCAGGATGTGGACTATAATGCAATCCTGTTTGTAATCTGAAGATATATTTCACTTTTGTTCTGCTTTATCTTTCATAAAGGGTTGAAAGTATGTTTGCTGCCTTGCTCCTAGCAGACAGAAACTGGATTAAAACAATTTTTTTTTCCTGTTTAGAACTTTTCAGGCATGGCTCAGAGCTTGAAGATCAGGAGAAACACATTTTTATTAAATCTTCACCGTTATGTATGAAGGAATCATTCCAGCGCTGGAAAATTTAGCCCTTTCAAATGTCTTAGAGCCTTTTATATGCAGAACATTGATACATGTGTCATTCTACAGAATAAATTCTAATATTGCTGTTTTTAAAGGCAGAGAAGTTCTCAGAGTTAATTCACCTATGTTATTTTGTGTGCAAATTGTTATTATTGAACATACTTTACTTCAAAATATTGTGCCATGTGGGTGAATTAATTTTACCAAGAACAACTTTACTCTGTGTTTAAAAATACAGTGGTAATGTATTATAACCTTTTATTCAAAATACTTTTTGCAAGCTAAACCAGTGAAGATGATTTCAATTCAGATTGTCTTGCAATTTCAGTTTTATTTTTACCAAGGCAAAACACTAATTTGTGTGTATATTGAGAATTCCTTAAATTTACCAGACAAAGAAATGATTTAAAGTTAAATTTGTTAATCCATGTTGGAAGACTATTTATCAAGAAGTGTACTTTTGCCCTGTTAAACAGTAGACGTATTCTTCTATACTTCTAGGTGCAAGGCTGATTACTAAGAAGCTTAGAAGAGGAATTTCTTTTCCTTTATTAATTCACAGGGAAAGGTTTTGTATTTTTAAAAACACTAAAAGCAGTGTCACCCTGCCTAATATCTCCCTGTTCTGCAAAGGTGGCAGTGCCTATACTTAAGTAAGGAGTATTTTGGAAACTGCTAAATTCGATGTTAAATACTGTGCGGAAGAATAATGGAAACATGACCGTTCATATAGGTAGTTTGGATATTTTTGTACTTGATTTGATGTGTGACTTTTTTTTGTATACTGTTTAAATCATGTATGTTATGATATTGTTTAAAATTCAGTTTTTGTATCTTGGGGCAAGACTGCAAACTTTTTTATACCTTTTGGTTATTCTAAGCCCTTTGCCATCAATGATCATATCAATTGGCAGTGACTTTGTATAGAGATTTAAGTAGAAAAGTTGCAGATGTATTGACTGTACCACAGACACAATATGTATGCTTTTTACCTAGCCAGTAGCATAAATAAAACTGAATCTCCACTTACAAAGTTGAATTCTAGGTTTGATTTTTAAAATGTTTTCCTTTTGCACTTTTGAGTCCAATCTCAGTGGCAAGACACCTTCTACTAACCGACAGGCAACAGCCAGTTCTATTGGGCAGCTTTTATTTGTCCCTCATCCTCTACCAGGGCTTCCCCATGGACATTGTGTATCATGTAAAGAGCTGGTTACTTTCTGACTTTTAACGGTGCAAAAATAGTCCTGATTGCAAGATAAAATAGATTGTCTACAGGATAAACAGTGTCAAATAAAATCAAGGATTGTTTTTAGATGCTTTTACTTTCTGATTGGAGAGACTTTGTAAACTTACTAAGATTATTTAAGGTGTGTTAATATGTTTGAGCTATAGAAACACATTTGTATGATAGTCCTCCTTACATCAACTGAAATGAACAAGTCTTCTGCTGCCTCGCTTAGAAGGTCTTAATAATATTAGACCAGCCTAGAAAAATCACTGAGTTTGCTTATTGCTCTGATTTAAACATAGATCTTAATCTAAGCTACATGTCTTTTGTTTTTTAAATAACTTCTCTACAATTCTTTCATACTCTTGAGTCCTCTCAGACACTTTCAGTAAAGACCTAATTTTCATCTGTAAAAGTTTGGTGATGTAAGTTTTATTGGTAGATTTATAAAAAGATGTCTTCTCTAGGAATTGTTGACTTTAGGTCTGTTTTACTGTGAAAGAGGAATAGGAGTGTGAAGAGAGGGGTTTAGCTAAACAGATTTTTAAAAATTCAGATGATGTTATTATAAATTTAACCATACAATGGTATAATCCCTTGCCTCATTTTCTACTTTGATGAAGATTTTCATTTTTAATGATCTGGGGAAAGTATGTGGAAAGTAGTTGCTAAGAAATCTCTCTTCAGAGCCAAGCTACCTGTCTTGGTTTCTTTCTCTTAAGAGCCATAAAATATATAAGGTACTTGTAGTTATTAATTGCTTATAATGTTTGTATCTAGATTCAGTCACGTTTTTTTGAGAAAATATGATCAGTTATTCCTGACCAAACTTAAACTGTATTTCTATTTCTTACAGGTGGTCCTCTTTGATAAGTAAGACTGAAGAATCTCACTAGTTTAAAAATTTTAAGTCTACTTTAAGGGTAAAATAGTTTGCACAGTTCTCAGAATCTCATGATTATGAAGATATGGTTCTGGGTGGGGTTTTTTCTTAGCTGATTTCATCTCAAAGACACTCAAAATGTTGAATTTTGATGAAAGCTAAACAAGATTTGAACCAAGTCTAGTGCAAGACTCATTCTACTTTTGTCCAGTGCCTTTTCAGTGCATCATCGATGGAAATCTTTAATGATGTTGCCTTTATTTTCCAAGGAGTAGATTCTTTTGTGGGGTAGTCTTTTTTTCTTAAGGCTTACTGCCCCTGGCATACAAAGATAATGATAATAAACCACTGCCATATACCCTTGCTTTTACAGAAACCTGGCTCGATCGTATTGCCCTAGCCACTAAGTAGCTCACCCACTCCTTTCCTCCTGTAAACAGTGCAGCTTTACAGGTTGCATGGTCTGGCTTAACGATAACCACACCTGAAGTATCTGCGTAAACCGATCACATATCCATATTGCGTTACGCTAAAAATCCATTTTTGTAGGAAAGA